GTTTGGGGAGGAGCTAATATTAATTGCACAGCCTCTTAGCATGTTTTAGTTTCAAGGTGTGTGTGTATTAATAATTAAGCAGTGACTGTAGCGGGCACAGCAGACACACACACACACACACACTTACAACATTTCAAACTCTTCATCTTTATTGATTTCTTCTCCTCTTTGAGTTTTAACATTCGTTTTTTAGTTATTTTCACTGCGTTGAGGCGGGTCGCTCCTCCACGATGTCTCCAGCGCGTCTGCTCCCCGAGCTGAGCACCATCTGAGCTGTGCTACCGACCGGAGCCTGCTCCCTGCTTTGGCCCTGCGAGCGTCAGCCTGAATAACCTGCAGCAGCTCCGTGCCTGTGACGCAGAGCGCCACCACCCTGATGTTTGACCATTCACTGAAGGAAACTTCACAGAGTGCATTCTGGGTAGACCTCAGGCTTCTATCAGGAGTCTCAGAGTCTGCAGCTGATACCAGGATGGTTCCTGCTGTGGCAAAAGCGCCTTCTGAAGTTTCCTCCAGTGAATGATCGGAAACAGATCAAAGATGGAGCAAATCTGATCTGTCCATCGAGGCTCCTGCAGCGCTCCGATCGCCCTGCAGTTTATACAGGAAATGTCTCGATGCGCCAGCTCCACCAGGGGAGGAGGTACGCAGGATTTAATCTAATGCTCTGCTCTGCGTCCAATTCATGCCTGACCTCCACCCTCAATCCATCCTGCACCCTCATCCTCAGACTGCCCCCCCCCCGCTTGATTGCAGTGAAGGAGGAGGGGGTCAAAGTCATCCTGTCACTTGTTTCCACCGGCCTACTTTCCCGCTGCGCCACATCTGACCAGGCAGAGGGGAACGGATGTGTACACACACACACACGGAGGTGAACTCTGCTCCTCGTCACTCTTCATCCTGCCCGTCCTCCTCACAGCTCACCTGTCCCACTGTCCTACCTGTCCATCCTCCTCCCTGGACACAGCAAAGGCAGGCTCTCAGCATCGAGGACACCAACTAGGAAACATAACCACTAAAACAACCACAGCCAGACAAAAGGAAGAGGAGGTGAAATATTAGGAGCAAGTGCAGCACAGACGATATCGAGGCTCCTTAACTCCAGCAGTCCTCGTGTCAGTGAGCATCTGCATACTGAGGCCTAAATAACTGCTTTTCTAATCCGCTTTGTTACACAGGATAGCGTGAAAACGTCGCTTCCACTCGATTTTCTCCTCAGTCAGAGACACAAATGTCTTTGAGCGCTCGTCTCACTCGTGCAGGACGCTGCACAGTCTGACAGGTACAACAGCTGGCAGGAAGGAGAAGCCGTCCCCTTACTGGGCACTGAAGTGTCGGAGTGTTTGATAATGATCGCAAAACAGAGCGACTCAGCCGTGGATCTGTCGTGGCAGTGAAAGCAGTTTGTTCATTCTGAGCTGTGTCTTCATGTTTCATGGTGAGGCTGGTTCCACTCTCAGGAGGATCAATAAGATCAGCTGCTCTTTGTTGCTGAAGAACAACATGAAGCTGTGCAGCACCTTCACAAAAAAGGGAAACTTTACTGGAACATCTGTAACAGCAGCAGCTTCCACCTCAGTGTGTCATGTGATCACCATGTTGGCTCCTCGGGTTCATGCTCCCCCTTCCTCCTCCTGATGTCACTCTCATCCTCCCTCCTGCCCCGTCTCCATTCCCCTCTCCACCCTCAGCTCGTCCCCTTTGGAGAGGATCTGTGATGTCAACTCCATCTCCTGACGAGCCCTCTTCATCCTCATCCTCCAGCCAGGGGGCGGGTCAGCAGAGCAGAGGATCTGGTGTGGATGTGGCTTTGGGGGAGGGATGAAGAGGATGCGTAGCAGCCAGAAACGAGAGGCAGTTGAGGGGCCACTTATGAGGGGGACGCACTCCCCTCGGAGGCAGCGCGATGTGGAGAGGGCAGCAGCCTCTCAGAGAGCGCCGCAGATGACCGAGAGCTCAGGCCGTGGTCGTCTCCTCCAGCAGCAGCTGAATAAATTTACACAGACAGCCCGAGTCGAGGTTAACGCTGCTGCAGAGCTGCTCCGCCACCGGCTCTCATATCACAACTGTCAGATACAAACAGCTGGACGGAGCCCACGCTCTGGACCTCAGAGCACGACTGTCCTGACAGAGCCCGCAATCACCAACATGATTGATTCATACAACACACGACGAAGGACACGTTCTTTACACGCCTGCGTTCATGTTGGTTTCATCAGGACATCGTGCTGCTGCTTTCTTTAAACTCAGTCACCCACTAACCATGGCTGAGTCTAAGTAGTGAGAAATGGTACATAGTAGCTTATTTCAGACTCTTTGTTAATCTGATGCCTCTAACCTCCCGCCGAGATACCGCACGTGCTCGCTGGCTGCTTCGTGCAATCGTCTGTCGACGCTCGTTTTTCCTGAACCCGTCGGCCTGCCTCGGCGGCAGGTGTCAAACCGTCAGTCTGGACCAATCGTCAAAGCTCTCCACGTCAGCCGTAAAGCTGAGTGGAGGAGAAAAGAAGTCGAGGTGGCGCTCAGAAGCTTTTAAAGGTGATTTACTGGCTGCTCCTGAACACGGCGGGCGCTCCGTCTGCAGTGCAGAAACAAGCTGATGGCTCGCCGCTGAGGAAACGCCCACCTGATATTAACACGGCGAGTTGGATCAAGCGCAAGCTGTTTGGCTGCAGCTCCTCCATCTCCTCGCCGTCAGAGCAAAGAGCCGCTGCTGAGCGCCGACGCCGCTCGCAGTAACACGAGTTTAAAATAGTGGCGCTTTCACTTTAAAGAGCAGCTCCATGAGAGTGTAGAAGCAGCAGGAGACCGCCGCTGCTCTTAGACACCTTTACAGGGCGCCGGGGGCGGGGCCTGATAACAATTGCACAGCTCTCCTGATGGTAAACTGACAGGAAGAACACAGACGGGCCTCGCACTGACGTGAAAGACGATCAGGATTTCTTCATCTTTTAAAGAAGATGGAGATCGGAGCCCCCCCGTCTGAGCGTGTTGGAGATTCCTGCTGTGCGTTAGAGGCCGGGGGGGCTTTCTGCCCGCTTCCCTCTTGGATCGGACTCTAGCAGGAAGCCACTTCACCCTCGCCGCTCCTCTGAGTGCGGTGGCATTTGGACGCCTACGCCGCTGCTCTGGCGTCTATGCGAGGTGCAGGCAGCACACTGACCTTTGAATAACAAGGCCCTGTACACTCCGCCACCCACTGAAGGCTCACAGCTCGCCGCCTCCAGCTGGCTCTCTCCCACAATGCAATGCTCTCCAAACAGTCCCAGCACCACAGACACAGGCGAAACAGGGACTGTAGCACTGATGATGCTTCCACCTGCGCGCCTCATTGGTTGGTGGATTTTATTTTATTATGACATCACGCATCAAACAATATGCTAACAGCTAACAGCTAACCTGAGCAGAACTCAGCGCGGCGGCGTCTCCAAGAAACAGCGTGAGAAATGATCATCATCGTCCCTGCACGTTACAGCACCTCGTTAACCTTTCTAATAAGGACAGCAGGCACCGACTTCCTGTCTGATCAAATACACACTGCATGATAATGATGGAGCGCACAGGGACAATATACTACTGTTGTGTATACCACAGAGCAGAGGTGTCAAA